CTGGACTTTTAACTTTATTTTTATATGTTTAACAGCTTTTTTTAATAGCAATAGCTCACCCCCCTTAAAATCAAAGTGGGTTGTATATGAGCTTGACATCCTTCCATTAGAGATGTCACATTGAAGAACAACATTTTTCTTTTTTAAATCGATGAAAAATTCTATTAGCGTTGCCCCAATGACCTTTTATAGTAGGGTGACCAACCATCCTCTTTTCCCCGGACATGTCCACTTTTCACGTTCTGTCCGGGGCGTCCGGGGGGATTTTCGAGATTAATGAAAATGTCTGGATTTTCGTACAGTGGACCCATATGTGTGACTTCATCCCCGAGCAGCTGCTTTGTGAGTGGTTGTTCTGCGCTCACAGACGGGACAGATAGCGTGCAGCAGCGCCTAGTGATGTTTAAAAGATGCCAAAGCACAACTGCAGCTTTTCAGACAAACTGCGAAAAAAAAATTCCCCCATACCATACCGGTACTGGTAATTTTTCTTATACAGTTGAGGCCTTATCTCTGTACCATTATTTAATTCCAGAGGTTTTGAAGTTATTTTTTCCCCTTGTTGACTTGTAAAAGCCTATATCACATTTTTTTCATTAACCGCACAGAGAGGCATCGTTTAAATATGTTAAGATTTTCTTTAAGCAAACAGTATTATTAAAGTTCTTCATGACTGGGCAAAGTGTCCTCCTTTTTGGAAATCAAAATATGGTCACCCAATTTTATAGTGAAAACATTTCACAACAGGATATTATCATGAAACCTCCTCAGTTATGTTTATATGTAATACACATTGAATATACAAAGTATTAAAATAGTTTTTAAAAAAAAAGACCTAAATGTGTTTTGTGCAACAACAAAAAAAATCCTAATATCCCGCAGCTGATCAGTGCATGATCAGCTCTTTGGAGTACAAGATGACCTTCACAGATATTTTACCATCCATGAATTTATTTTCTTTCAAACTTGCTTATCTGCAGAGCTTTTGCACTGAACTCATAATATTGCATAATTTATAATGAGATAAAAACAAAAGAGGCACGAACATAAAATGCTCTTTCTGGCTGCCTGTTAGGAAACAATGACACCGTGTTAGCCTTTAAATCAGCTGAGCTGGCTGACCTTTCGGGCTGTGCAGCAGATACAAGGAAACACTTAGCATAAAGTGTTGTGAATGAGTCTATTTCTATTTTTTTTTATCGCTTTCTCAGTCTGTTTGCAATTTTTGAGATCTGTTGTTGTCAGTTACCTAAGAAAACTGTGCATTGCCTTTCTGTAGGAAGGGAAATCAGTTGGTTTGGGGTCATTTGAAAACAGGAAATGGAGCTTTTTGAAAAAAGATGAACAAATAGCAAAACTGACGCTGTAGAAAAGCTGCTTATCTTTTTTTTTTTTCTACCTCACTCGTCTTATTTCCTGCTAATTCTCGCAGTTCCCATGGTAGTGTAATGTTTGAGCACCTGACTCACGGCAGCTCTCCGGGCTGTGGGGGTGTTACAGGATCACCAAGCCAAGCCAGATGCCCTCTCACTAGGTAGCCAGCTACATACTGTACATCTTCCACCTCTTCCCACTTTAACGGTCCACTGGCCTCCTCACACAGACACATTGTGCATCGATGCTGTGCCTTACTGTTTGTGAAATAGGAAAAAAAGGAAAATATCACATACTGCTGAACTCCATTTTTTTTCTTGGTAGTGATACCTGCTGTTCAACAGACAGTAAAACACTGGTGTCAGTATTGACAGAGTGGAAAAGCAGTAGTCATGTAAAGTCATGTAAAGAACAGAAAAGCAGCCAAATACCCAGGATGCAGATGAGCGATGGTAAATCTTCCTTACTGAAATTACACACAAGCTTCATTTCATCTTTTTTCATGGTCAGCTGTGCAGAGAGCTTTAAATGGTTAACGTCATTTTCAAGTGACTTTTTGACAAATACTTCATTTTCCTTTCCCCTTAACAGTCCATATAATAAATAGAATATAGACGACATATCGCAGGTTATACCATCCCACACTAAATATGCAATACACAAGTAAGAATTAGAGTTCTGCAGTGTTTTTTTTTTCTTCTTTTTTGTGTGTGCGTTCATTTTGCAACAATGCTGAGAAAAATGTAGGCCATAGGAGTCTTCAGTAGGCTACTATGTACCTCACATTAAGTCTAGTGTGTTTTTTATAGTTTGGTACAAATTTCCAACCCTTAAAACTCACAAGCATAAAACACTAAAATCTGCTTTTCTCTCTCTCTTGTTTTTTTTTTAATCACATTGCTTACTTCTAAAATGTAAAAAAAACAAAAAACAATTTGTGTTATACTGCTAGTGTGCAGCATGTGCAAAATTTTTTGTTTAAGGACATCTAATTAGAAAACAACTGCGCTAAAGTAAGATGTTGCTTGTGCAGGCTGAAAGCACAGTGACTTGAGCAGATGGTGTAATGAGATATATGGTAATAACCACACTGTCAGCGCGTTGGCCTGTATGAGACCGTGCTTAGACAGTGGCATAGCAATCATCCCCCACCGCGTCTTTATTCCGAAACAGATGCATTGTGAACTACAAGTTAATGCATTTGTGATCAAGATGTCCTGGGAGTCTGCATGAAAGTTCAAAGCTGTGCATTGTACATGCATTTTGTTAGTTTAGTACAACTTTTGGGTTCATTAGGTCAACATTACATGCACAGGTGAGCTTGCAGGGCTCAGTTGGTGCGGCGCAGTGTCATTAGTAACAGGGTTAGGAGTTTACGTCATGCAAAAAAGTTTACTAACTCACTGTATGTGTAATACACTGTGGCACCGGATGTTTAAAAGTGTTCATCGTATACAGTCTCATGAAAAGTCTGACCTGATTTGCAGCTGTCATATAAACAGCCCGCACACAAGGAGTCACACAAACCTTGTTCAGTTATGTAACCCCCTGTTGTGTAAGCATGCATACCCCATCGAGTGTGATGGGGCTCATTCTTTAATGAACTCTGAAATTCTGTGAAAAGCATTAATTCAAACAGATATCTGTTTATTCTCAAAATAAACAGATCCATGTGAAGCAGTTACATGTGAAAAAGTTCTTCTGCATTTGAGATTAAACATATGGTGTGTAATTATGTAAACAATCATGAATGTGAGTTGGTTTGAGCAAATCTAAGGGTGAAGGATGAAGGATGATGTGCTCTATTCACTCTGTAACTTCTGATGATAACCTATGAGGAAAAACACTTGTCAGTGATGGGAAAGAAGGGCTTCCTTTAAACACTCAAAGTCCTGAGCTCAGGAAAGGGTAGCCATCTGTCACAAGTAGTTGGACAGAGGGAGGAAAGAGGAGATTTAAAAAAAAAAAAGTGGAGCAAAGGGAGATAACAAACAGCAAGTAGCACCATTCACAAGGAAAACTACAGAAGAGAGAGGAGAATGGTTGTTGACATACTGGAATGTAAAAGCATCGTGATCATGGAACCATGGAAGCTAAGGGATGATTCAGGGTCAGCTGATAAATTGCTGATAAAAGTTTTATAAGAAGAGGAAAGTTTTAACTTTAATTTTGAAAGTAAAGAAGATGTCTGTCTCCAAAACCCAAACTGTGAGCATGCTCCACAGGACAGGAGTCTGTCTCCCATTCTTCTTTTGGTAACTAAGAACCGCAAGCACGCTGTCTGACAGAGAAGTGCTCTATATCTTTTTTAAGATATAATGGGGCCTGATCATTCAAGGTTTTATATGTGAGAATAGAGAATTTTAAACTGAATTCTAAATTTACTGAAGTCGAAGAGAAGCTAATGTTAGACAAATATAACCTCCCTTTCTTGTTCCTGTTTGTACTCATGCATTAGAATTTTTTGAATCAAGCTTTTCAGTGAGCTTTTAGGAAAACCCAATTGTAAGGAATGAGAGCAGTCTAGCATAAAATACATAAATGCACAGACTAGTTTTTCTGCATCATCCTGAGACAGGATGTTCTTAATTATGGCAACAGTGCACATATGAAATGAGCCGGTGGTAGATGTTTGTTTACCTTGCAAGTTAAAGCCATCCACAAAACAATGGATGAGTCAAATCTGATTATACTGTAAATGTGTTTTTGCTTTTAGATTCATTTGCAAATGTGTCAGTTAGCAACTGTCAATTTGAGTGTAAGGGGTGTATGACGTTTGTTTCTACTCTATTGAAAAAAAGGACTGTCCTCCTTACGGGTGATATGCAGGCAAAACACGTGGACGTGAGCCACACAGCAAATATACCGAGTTTGTAGTATCCATTCATGGTCATGTGGTGGGTTCTGCTATTATGCAGGCGCAGTAAATCATATTTGCAGCTTAAAGGTATCCCGCTTCCAGTGTGACCTTCAGGAGAATGTCTGCATTGCTGCTCAGAAGGCACAACACTACACTCAGGTGTGATATCGCTCTAGCTCCACAGACCACATTCACATCTGGAGAAACTACAGTGTGAGTGTGCTTTTACTATTAGTCAAAGTTGTAGCAGTGGCTGTATCACAGCATTTGCTGGGGTAATTGAAAACGCAGCATATGTCTGCCATTAAACTGACATAAGCAGATGAGGCAGTCACTGTCACTGCTGAGGATGTACCACTCTGTGAATGAGCACAGCTCAAGCGCCAAGGGCCAGGCTCCATTCACGTTAACATTAATAGAAGGTTTGGTGTCTACAGAGAGCAGAGAGCAGACCATCATCGCTGGCATGTCACCTGCAGCAATTGTATCTTAGTCCTTCCAAGTTTTTAGGTTTTTGGTTTCCCAGACGTTCATACCGCACACGTTCACTAGCACATGCACTAATGCTAGGTTTAGTGTTTCCATTACTCCAGGCACTTTGGGGCACGTGGGGTGGGGGGGCTGCTGCATGATTGCACCATGTGCAGTGCAGTAGACTGGATATACTGTATATTATGCATGCAATGGAGACATACTGCCATCTAGTGGTAACAACAGCAATATTCTAATAAAATAAAACATTAAGAAAGGGCAAAGCAACTGTAAAATCAATTATGATCAGTTTTAATCACCTTTAATTTACGAATGTATTTTATTCTGTACATTACAAAATATCCAGTGGTACCATTTGTATCTGAAAAAAAAACATGAAATAAATAATGAAACAATCACCGTAGTCAAAGTATAACAAATGAGCAAAATTGTCATTAGATTTTTTTTTAAAAACATTAACTTGAACACAGTTCCATACTTTAAAGATAAAGAATCAGAGTTCAAAAGAATTAACAAATTTCATTCTAAACTCGATAAACCACTCGCATCAGGCTTACATCTTAACGATATACGTGAAAAGTCCAGACAAGTGAAAACTGCGCATGTCAGATGTTTTCATTCCATCAACTCAGTTCATCACAAGAACCGAAAAACAACAAGCACCAAGACTGGACATCTACTGATGAAACCAGTTTACTGCAGCTATCTTGTCACAAACAGCTGGGTCGCTACACTTAGCATTGATGCCCAACATTTTTTCTATTTCAGAATTTTATTAATTAATTTCTTTATCTACAGAGTTGAAGATTCTTTAGAAAAAAATGCTGAACCACATCGCCAAAGAAAAACATTTGAAAAGCGGTTAAATCGCTCTATTATTTCACTTTAGGAGAAAAACACACATAAGGTGCCAGGATTGTCACGTTCAGAAAAAAATCAAATATCCAACCACAGAAGGCACATTAAGAGCTGAGACAGATGACCCCACGAAAAATGGAGATGGATCTGTATCATAAATGTGGATGCAGGTAGAGAATGGCTCCCGAATCCTCCAGTCTTTTTAAGGCTTCAGCTTCATGATTAAGGTCGTGGTAAGAATTCTGTAACAGAGTGGAGTAGCATTAGTATTCAAGGAATATGAAGCTTTGCCAGTGAGCGTGTTAAAACAAAAAGTACATCACTACAGGTGGCCGCGCACCTTCATAGACTTCATGGTGGCATATCCATAGTAATGGATCGGCTGCTGCTGTTGGCTCTTTGAGCGAGGGTATCCGAATCCAGCAACGTGGACCACGTCACAGTAGTTGAGAGCAACAAAAATGGCAAGTATACCCGTGGTGGGATGCACTGGGATCTGCAACAAGCAAGAGATCATGACAGCCCACTGCACTTCTTCTTGTTTTCATGATTTATTATTTCTAAAATTAGCAAATATTAGTAGATACCCCCAAATAAAGAACTGAAAGATTTTTACCTTGCACACCTGAGTAAAAACAGATAAAAAAAATAAATAAACAATAAACAAAAACAGGTTTGTATAAATCAAATTAACTTTATAGAAGGAGAGTTACTTAAAGCATGTAAAAAATGTACATGCTGAGCTTTGCTGGTTGTGCAAAAGAGCTTATGATGTAAAAACAATCTCCAGATGGCTTTGGAACTGAAACCCTAAAAGAAGCCCCTCATTTCACCACTAGATGGCGATAGAGGAAAACTGCAGCTTTATATGCGGTTCATTTGCACAAGCATTTCTATCTGCAGTATTCGCTCTCATAACCTCACCCACATGGCTTATGCAAACACAGTTTTGTTTCTATGCTTTTTATTTCAACCACCTACTGTTCCAACAGAATTTAAACGTTGTGCACAACAATTAACTTAAACTCTTAAAAACAGAAAAACTTGAGTATTTTGACATTTTATTTTGAAATTCATTTGCAGCTCTGAGTTTTTCAAACACAGTGATTCAAAGCATTTAAGCCCTCTGCCTTTCCTTTCCTTCCCCTCGATTACAGTAAATTAGTCTTTTTCACAGTAATCGAGAGGAAGGAAAGGAAAGGTGTGTGAAAAATTGATGGTTACTACACATATAAAGCCTCTGCCATGACTTAATGGTATGGTCAGCAGTTATGTTGTTAAAAAAAAGTGGACATATGCAGAGTAAGCATGGGTGCACCATGTAAGCAGAGTAAAAATGGGTGTGCCATAGTAAAGGATGAGTTTATTGTCTAAAGTCATTGTGACAGATACATACGTAGTCCTGCAAGTGAAAATGCTGGCCTTATCACTAATGTACAGGTGCACACACACTAACCTGCAAAGGTTTTAGTGTGGCTGCAAGTTAGTTACAGAGACATAAAAAACTCAAGATTTGGCTGAAAGCTGGTCTGGTGTGATGAAATCCAGGTGGACTACGTCTGTAAAGAGGACACAGACTAATTCCTACAATTCGATTCCACACTACAATTTTTCCTGTATATCCCGAGGGAAAAACAGCCCACAAACAGCGGTGATATACATTTCCCTTCACATTTTGTGCATGTCACATTCCTTAATTGGTTTCTGCCTAAAAACAATGACAAAAGAACATGCAGCAAGCAAAACCTTCCGGCTGATATTTTATTTTTGCTTCTTTAAGGAAAAACTAGAACTCAAGGTAATGTGAGATTTAATGAGAGGAGACATGTTTGTTGTGTTATTCCTGGCTGGCTCTTTCTGTCCACAGAAATTCCCCTGTGCTGTTTGCCACTCCCTCTATGACTGATTATGATTACGCGTGCTCACATAGGCAAGAAGAAGAATTATTTCCATATGACCTGAAGACAAAAGAAACTCTCATTCACTTTTCAAATTAAAACCCACTTTAACAAAAACCTTTTATTCTTCATCTTTCCAAATCATCATCTGTGTTTTGTGTTTTTTTCCTGTGCAATGCTCCATCAGTAAATGCACCGGTGTTTATATTAGCCTACTTCCAGTATGTTCTTTTCTAGTTACGGGGCTTACTGAATGTCAAAACCAATAGATCTCAAACTTTTTTTCTGGCGTGCCTCCCTTCAGGAGTCAGAAAAAGTTAACACCCCACTGTTCCTCATCAAATGTTAACAATGAAAAAGTATTTAAACTTATTTAGTGAAATGTCAGCACAGCATCTGCAACCTCTTGTTTTGGAAAAAACTCTGTGTAAACCATCCTGATATCAAAATAAAGTTAACATATAAGTGAGCCTTAATCACATCACAGGTGTAAGTATCACAACAGACGTCATTGTGTCAAAGTAACTGAGGATGGAACACAGATTTTTTTCTTGGCCTAATTTTTTGTGTGTCTTTTACAGCATGAACCTGTGCTGCAGTAGATCAAAAACTGAAGAAAACCATGAGTCAACAGATGGACATTACCCGTGGAAAGATCAATGCTGCTGAAGTGAAACAGAGCAAAGTTACAGAGGTTTGATTTTGCAAATTAAAAAAATTTGGCACCATCTGTGAGAGCTGATATTTCTTCAGCATTGAAAAGCAGAAATTTGGCTTTCTTGCTGGAGGTCAATTTCGCAAAACAAATCAATAAACATACTCTAAAAAATTATGGACTGGTGCGTAATGCGTCCGCGCATAAAGAATCAAATAAGGCAGAAAGTAGGAATTTATGACAGGAAACTGCTGTTGAAACACACTGCGAAATGGAGCTGTGCAGGAAATGTGATTGCATCAAAGTGGATTTTTTTGGTAACAATACAGCACAGGTAAGACAGAACTGATGCTAATGTTTGTCACACTTGAAGCGAAATTTTGGTCTCCTTTTGCTGCTGGCTTAGTGAATTTTTGGTTGGGTCGTGATGAAACTTGCACTTTTGGACTCGGTGAGATCTGTGCTTTCAACAGAGACATTGTCCGTGTACATGTTGTCAGATTTGTTGTTTTAGCTGTGTTTGGTGGTCATGGAAATGGTTTTGTGAGCTTTAGCTAAGATTCTGATATTTCAGTGATGCCACACATCTATATTTGAATAACAGATCTGGCAGCACAGCCTGTGAAACTAGCTGTTGCTTTCAGTTTCAGATGAAAACGCCGTTTTCAAATTTATCTGGGCTGGTGTGGACGTTGTCTCAGTGGAGGTTTTTGAAACCCACGTTGAAGTGTGAAACCTCAGGGGAAGTGCTATTTTAAAAGTTTATTCAGAGGTACAGTAGGGCTCAAGTGTGGTTTTTTTTATAGTTTAGCAACAGGTCAGGCTGGCATCCGGTACTCAGTGAATGATCAGCACAGCTCCTCAATGTGTGCTGATAACTCTACTTCTGCCTTTTTCAGGAGATGTTTAAAAGAAAGCCTACACACAACACACCGGCATGTAGATGACAGTAAGTGTTCATTTGCGTGAGTCGTTGAGCTTTTGTACCCTCAGGGTTAATTTTTTGCAAAATGTGTGTCTAAACAAATGTGCAGTTGGTTATAGCAACAGAGATAACAATTTGTTTGAGTAGCCTTGTCAAGAATCTGAAACAGAGTTTTTGCTGCTGCACAGAGCATAATCGGTAACCTGAGGGAAACTGATGATGCCAAAGCACAGGAGTTCCAAAATGAGACAAAATGTATCCAACAACAACACAGAGTGAGGGCGTGCCAGATGCACATTTCCATCGTGTTCAGTAATGTGTAAAAAATGTCATGCTTACAGCCCCGAATAAACATAATTCAGGTGTTACTTGAAAACTTTACTGCCTGCAGGCCCCAGTTCTCCCACCACTTCATCCCACCTCTCCTACTGCTGCCCCCCAGCCATTCCCGTACAAGCTGCACAGATGGTACAGAGCTCCTGTCGAGTGAGCCCGCTGATTGCCTGCAGGATCTCTGCCTTCCCGCTCCTCACTCTCGTCTTGCAGTGAACCAACTGTGTTTATACCGCAATCTGAAATGGTTACACCCATTGTCAAGTCTTTGACAAAAAGGTCTCAGTGGGAACAAGCAGAACCAAAACAAAACTTAGCTGAAGATCCACATCGACGACGATCCCCACCAAACACACAGAAAGCCACACTTGGAAGATGAGATGCTATGGGCCAATAAAAAATGCTGTAATACACCAGTTTCAGTCCAAGAGGGATCTCGTGGTGTTTCAAAATCTGATCAGCAGGGGAAAAAAAAGAAATGTCATGCACTCTGGATCTTCATTGCGCAACTGCTGTTTTTCCTCGAGTTTATGGGTTTAGAGCAATGCTTTCACTTTTACTTTTCGTGTTTTGATTCAGCCATCTTGCGTTTCATTTGCCTTCTACTTTAAAATGTCAAAGGATATGCTCAGTGAAAACCAACTAAACATTAAAATCGAGTTAAAAGTTAGTGAAGGCCACAGTACAAAAGCAATACTCCGCATCACAGATAAGCACACTGGGAACTGCCTTTTACCTTTGAAGACATACAATAAGAAAACAATATTTTGGCTTTTCTTACCCCCAAAAAAATGAAATAAGCCAATTATTTCCCAGGGAACCACCGATTTATTGTTAAAGACATGAGACAGTTATCTTACAGTGAGATACCAGGACGCCAAGCAGAAGCTAATTGTCACCAAATTCACAGTAATCACCAACTAGATTTCAGCAGAAACGCCTCTTACAATAAACTGTTTACCACAAAGGTCATGACGGATCATTCTGAGGAGCAGTGCCTAATCAGCAGAGGCTCCGTCCACCCTTGTTAACATTCATGTGGGAAGCAGTGAAAGGCCAGAAAAGAAGAACAGAAACATAGGAAAAAGAGCACAGAAGAGGAAGAAAAGTCTGCTGCAGAGGATGCCAGAAATTCTTGGTATTGCAACATCCCCACCACAATTACAGAGCAAAAACTTATGATTAAGTAAGAAATGGGACTGATTTGAATAAGGAATAAAGACAGTTTGGTTTCGATCTGCACTGAAACTTCTACTACCACAAATTGAGATCACGCATAGTCACGACTGCAAAAAAACCAAACAAAAAACACTTAAGTGAAAGTGATCACTCACCTGTTTGCTCTTGGGGTGAAAATTGATCTTTAGCAGCTTGACTGCAGTCTGATGCAAGAAGTGTGGGTCCAGCACTCTAACTTTACTGGCATCACCCAACCAAATTTGAGGAGGGGGCTTCCAAAAGCCTTTCCTGACCTGGCAAAGACAAAAAAACAGACAGGGTGTTTACAGACTGAGAGTGAAAACGGCCACGAATTGCCCTTTATTTGGCAGAATGGATGCATGCAAGGAGAGACGCATGTAAATCTCCATGTTTGGAGGACACTAAATCGATGTGCAAATTAGCGGGTAATGACCCTGCAACTATTAGCAGCAGGAGGCCGGAGGTGCCGTGGGATACGGAGTGAACGATGCCTGCAATGGAAACAACATTTAACTCTGGAGAGTGCTGGCACTGCTCAAGTGGAACCTCTTAAGTAGTTGTTCCTGATATGCAAGACAGACAAGCTTGAAAAGTAAACAGAATGTGTTCAGTTGAGGCAGAGAGAGGAAAGAACGAAAGAAAGGGAGATGACTGTGTGTGCGTAAGAGAGTCTGTGTTTTTACATGTGGGAGAGTGCATTCTCACACACATCCAGTACCCTCTTCTCATTGTAGAGGATCTCTTTGAGCCACCGTAGATCTTGCTGTTTGAAAGGCACCAGGACCATAAGGGTGTCAGGCTCATTGTCCAGTCCAGGGTTGTAGAAGGCTGACTCAGGGTAGAAGAACCTCATGGTGGTCTTGTTCCCCACGTCTTCCTCATAGCCTCTTACCGGGGCATCATTCAACCTGAGGCAGGAATAAAATATGTAAAGAAATTTAAAAAAGGATTTTCAGAGCTGTTTTAGTCAGGATTTCAATTTTTGCAATTAGAAAAAAGTTGATGTAAATGAGCATTGAATAACCATTATTCAGTGGATCGTGAAATACTGCACTCCCCACCTGCAGCTAGCCTCTCAGAGCTTCAACCGATTCAGTTTTTACATAAATGATTTAAGGTCTGATCGCATGCTTAAAGACACTGGAGGTAACATGACCTCGGCCTTGAGCATAGTTTAGGTAAAGATCCATTAGGTGATCTTTGCATGCAATGTTCACTGAAATCTGATAATACTCTAGGAGGAGTAACAATTCTTGTAAATCACATAAGCTCATGGGTCCTTCAGCCCGAAGTTGACAATTCTTGATTTCTTGTGTTTTTGCAGATTTTTCACACTTACATGTTGCAGATCAATAAACTATACACGGACAACCTGAATAAGTACACGTGGCAGAGTTGTGGTCCCTGGCTGAGCTGCAGGGGAGGGGTGGTGCAATGAACTCAAGTATGCATATGTTTTTTTTTACAGAACTTTATGCTGATGCACAAACTCAACAGCGACATCCTTTATTGCACAGATAGTCCATGACCATCTCTTTAGTTTCTGACACATTAATGTGCAACAAGGACAACTTGCAACACTCTTTTTCTGGTCAAGGTTTACTCAGCAGAGATGCAATCACTGTAAAAATAAAACTGGAGAAAACGCACTTCTGTGATGGCAAATAAAACACGATTTACCAACATGTCACACCGCAATCAGTCTTATGAATACTAAGAAGTTGCAGCAGCATTAATTTTGGTGTATGTGTAAAGTTGCACCCAGATATGTCGTCTACTGACAGATATTATCTATCACACGATTAAGAGCTGGGGGGGAAAAATTAATAAAAGTTAAAAAGTTGCCTCAGAACAGGATGACTAACTCACTCTACGCTGTACACAGCCTGAAATTCGAAACCTTGTTCACTCTGTGAAATAAAAAAACATCTGTGTTTCATCACTTAACAAAAAAATACAATATAACTCTATAGTTGACAAATTCAATAGCACAGACTGAGAACATTAAAATATTAGCAAGCACTTTGAGAACTTAATTCTCAACAGGCTTTTAAGAAGTCAAGCAGTGTTTCCATGGCAGGAAAAAAGCCAGATGACGTCAAAATCTCAGGCATGCATTGAATTCTGAGTGTCAATAACCTGACTTGGCTGGAAAATAATTAGAAGAGAGCGAGAGACGTGAGGGGAGGGAAAGAGGGGGGTTCGGGGGGGGGGGGGGGTGCATTGCTGCCAGGCCTAATTCTGGCTGTTTGAAAGAGGCTTAAAAAAAACTCAGAATGCGGTCGCTCATTCCACGGCTGTAGAGTCAGATCTGCTAGATGCCTTTGTCCCTGAGTAAACTCAATGCTTTCTTTTCTGCTTTTAAAGAACCTGATTTGACCCAAACTTAGCCTGAGAGGACGGCTCTGTGTCAGAGTCACATGCTTATACAGTCTACAGCTAAGTGAATTAAACCCTATTTAGAGAGGCTGAGGGTAAAAGAAATCAACACATTCTCTTTTTTAAAATGCAATAGCAATGAGTCCTAACTGCCTTGAAACATGGAAGTTTAACTGCTCTCCTTTTAAATCAACCTTGGACATGATTTTTTCTGATTGGCTGTGCTTGATAAACAGAAGGGCAGAACAGCAGGTTGGTTGGGTTTCAATCCCTACAACAAAAAGTGTAGATGACCTCACTAATGATATCGCCAACAGCTCTATCCCTCAACCTGCTTGTACATGCACCCATATTTGAAAGTCCTACATCCCTTAATTCACGAGTTATTGCGCTCGCAAACTTGGGTATCCACCCAACCTGGCTGTCCACCAGGCGAGGTGATGACATTACCCCAAGCCTTTCAGGCTGAGGGGCTGAAGACTGTCAGCAATCAACTATTTAGAGCAGTCTGAAGTCTGAGCTTCTGGCTTAAAGACATTTAAGCCATATACTGACTTCATTGTTTGCAACTTTGAACATTTTAAATCCAAGCATCCATCTAAATAATTGGATTTAAATATATGGCAGACACTTTCAAACACACTTTAACCCCACTATTATTGCACAGTAGAGCATATCATTTCATTTTAATACCATAATCAGGAAAAATGATTTCACTGTTGTGTGGAGTATGATTATTGCTTACCGAATGACCACATCGTATTTATTGATGATGCTTCCCAGGGAGCTGTTTTTAATGGCAAAGCCATTACCTATGACTACACAAGTTCTGCACTCAAGGCTGTGGAGAAAAACAACACAGGTTCACATTATGAATTAAATGTGGCAAATTTTTCTTTATCAAGGTTTCTCATCGGTCTTAAAATGAACATGTTTTGTTCAGTTACAAACAAAATGGCTCTCTGGAGGCAAAAACCTATCATCACTACTGGAACAGCACGCGAGGACATAGGGAACAGTTATAGGGAACAGTTACAGAGAGCGTTTTCACAGAACTCTTTGCAACCATGTTAAAAATCAAGTACAAGGCCACAGTTAGCATGTTAAACGTTAAAGTTCGTGACAGCACAATTAAAAAAAGATGGAACAAGTGTGGCTTGTTTGGAACGTTTGCCAAGAGAAGGCCTCGTCTTTCTAAAAAGAACGAGGCAGCACAGCTTAGGTTTGCAAAGCTGCATTTAAACAACCACAGGAGCTCTGGAACAATCCTATGGGCAGACGAGAACAACGTGGAGATGTTTGGCCATAATGCAGAGTGCTACATTTGGCAAAAACCAGTGCCTGCAAACCTCCATGTTGTAAAGAAAAATGGACCAAAATTCCTCCACAACGATGTGACAGATTTCAAGTTATTGCTGCTAAAGGCGGCGCCACAAGCTGTTGAATCATAGGGTGTTTTTCACAGGACTGCATAGTGTGTATTTGTTGGCACCGATCTTGGCCTACTCTATTTTGAGTATGATGGCTTGAATTGGTAAACAGAGCAGGATACTGAAAAATTTTTAAATAGTTAAGAATATTTAGAATAATTAGAAAAGTGCAGATTAATATTCTTGTAAATAAATAAATTGTAAGATGGTCTAAAAAAGCAAATCGTTATCCATGATTGCAATGTTAAACTAATTCGCTTTACTACTGTTGGCCAAGTTTGCTAAAGTGTGCTCAAACTTACTTTTCAATGTTGGCTGGCACGTGATAATTTGTAGTTACAGCAAGCACTTTCAGTAGCAGCAGCTCTGGGATGAAAAGTGAGAAATGGAGAAGTTCAAAAGTTCACGCCGAACACAGAGCTTGAATTGGTGAAAAAGCTACAGTCCTGGGTTTCAGCTGTATTAACAGTTTAAGATGTCATCTATTTAATCCCCAGTCCTGGTCCCAGTCAAAATGAGACAAATTTGCTAAAAGTGAGTGGGAAGAGTGGGGATTAATTTAAAATGCAAGGTCAACATACCACTGCCCTTAATGCCATAAGGTAATGCCAGATCTGACAGATGCTGCCGCCAAAAGAAATCCTCCATTTTCATAAAGAGCTGCGTCCGTCTGCTAATGCTGCATGAGAAATGTCAAAGCAGGGTTTATAAGATGATACCACACAGTTTCAGTGTACAGATGAGTTATGCTGCCAGAGGCTTTGTGGCCGGGAGAGCAAAGAAAACTGCTTCAAGTTTTTTGTCTAAAATAATCAACCCACACAATAGACAATACCATCTGTTCTGCCAAGCAGTACAGTGTTCAAGCTAGCACATAAAAAAGAAAAAAAAACTGCTTTGTAATCTTAACTGATGCACTAGCGTTACCAAATGTTCTGGTACCCATTAAGCAGGTAAGCCAACCTCGTTATAAGAAAATCACCTATTTATATGATGCCATTCAATAGCAATTTCCTTCATTAAAATTCTCCGCTGACATTCCCTCGCCATGGAGAGGGGAAAGAAAACAATAATGCTCACAGAGCCTGTGGAGTGAGACAAATGTGGCAGGTTGTAATATGTGAAACAGTTGCTCTTCTGTGCTCACTCACTCCAGCTGTTTATAACCTACTGTCTTTGACAGTAAGTCTCTCAGGCATTTATTACTCTTGTGTGCCAGCTAGCCCTCTGTAGGAGATCAGGATAAATCTCCGGGCAGGGAGTCTAATTAGAGAAATGTCATTGTAACTGCCTCGCAGGCTTCCCTGTGACTGACTCATGTTAAAAATCCAAGAACAACGGACTGGTAACTCTGAACTGAACTCTTTTTCAGCTACACATCTTAACTGTTGCAAATGTTAAAGGGCAGGCGGTGGAAGGTCGACTGGGCTAAATAAATAAACAGTGACCTTGGATGAGGTTTGGCCAAACCACACATTCCCTTTTACTAATAAAGCAGAGCCAAGAATAAAGGTGAGTAAATATACAGGTCGATAAACTGATAAAGAGACTAAAAGATAGATAACTGTGAGCATGTTAGAGAATGTGAAACAGGGATTAGTTAACAAAACGGGCTAGACATTATCAAGTTATAAAAAAAATATGTATATGTCATGAAGACATTGTTAGCCAAAATTAGTTTTTCACATTAACTCCCCCTCTCTGGCTTTTTATCAAGACATTCCACTGGAATGACTGAAACTTACTGTAACCATTATTTAGATGGAAACTCTTCTTTTAAACATAACTCTTCTTCTCTGTAAAATATGCTTTTCTGTCATGACTGGTACAGAGCAGTCCAGTTTCAAGGAACTCGGCACTTTATGTTCAAATAAAAACACTGCTATACACCACTCCTTTAATAAGTCAGTTTCCCCAAAAAAAAGAAAAAAAGAAAAAAGAACACACAGACATGCCATTACTCACTTAAAGTTAAGGCTCTCCCATTTCTTCTGGGTTAGCCAGCCACCACACAGCGACTTGCTACTGCTGGGAGACTTGCTGGTGCCTCCATAGCTGAAAGACAGTTGCCACAGATGGCATGAAAACTACTGCTGAATCAGTGAAAATGGAAAGTGCCAGTAATTTAGTCCAAAATGCTCAAAAAGTGCAAAAATTGCTATGTGTGAGGCTTTGGTTGACTAGCAGCTCAGACCACTTTGTGAATAGGCTGTCTTCTCAGATTTTAGTGACTCAGCGCTGGCCAGAAATCCTGCGAAATGGGTATTACTGTGATTCTGTGACTCAATACCAGAGAAATTAAGAAAGAAAGAAAGAAAGAAAGAAAGAAAGAAAGAAAGAAAGAAAGAAAGAAAGAAAGAAAGAAAGAAAGAAAGAAAGAAAGACATGTTTGTGTTAGAGTGTGTCTTTGTGTGAGATTACCTCTGAATCAAGGCATACGAACAGTAGAACATGACAAAGGTGACGAAGAACAGGAGAACTGGGAGAAGCCTAGGCCACCATACTGGAGCAGACAAAGACAAAAACAGAAGCAAACATATCAGGGTATAAAAGTAGAGTCACCTGAGAGACAATGCTCAGTCTTCTTCTATGCAAATTATGATGTTTGCTTTTTCTGACGTGCCATTTTGAAACAGGTGTACGGGCAATGCCAATGAAACTGATTTTCATTCAAATATCACTTTCCAAATTAAGACAAATGCAAAGGCTTATAGGAAACTGTCCATCTGCTAGGATTTATTTTTAACAGCAAAGAGTGAAGATCACAAATTACGATACGATGTTCTCAAAAATGGTTTGAATTCTTTAAATACACTGAAAAAACTTGCAAATCTCATAAACACATATTTTATTCACAACAGAACACATAACAAATGTTTAAACTGAGATATTCTACTTTTTCATGAAAAATATTAGAAAACGATGGCAACAAAGGGCTCAAAAAGTCAGTGGTGCTAAAAAGACACAGCTAGGGGAACATTTTGCAACTAATTTGGTTAGTTGACTACATGTTAGTTACATGATTGGGAATAACAAGAGCACCTTAGAGAGGCAGTTTGACAGAAGTAAAGCTGGGCAGAGGTTCATCAATCTGCAAACAAATCTGTCTACAAACCATTTCTGAAATTTGAAAGTGTAAATACAGGTTTAAGATCAACATATGCTCCAATCCAGAAAATGTGTCTTTCAGGAAAGGTTGCACATATTTTAGCAAGACGATGCTAAACCACATACCACCTCTGTTACAACAGTTTCATAGCAGAAAAGTACATGTGCTGAACAGTATGTCTGTGAAGGTTCTCAGTCATCCAGGTCATTGTAGTCAAAGGAGCTTGCAAAGAAAAGAGTCTGGACTTCTTTAAGTTGCTTGAAGACATTTCACCTCTCATCCGAGAAGCTTCTTCAGTTCTAAAGTCAAACATGTGAACATTGGCATCCCCTTTTGAGGATGTCAATGTTCAAATTTTGGACAGAGAGGACAGATGGTTTGAAAGAGGAGTGAAAGAAGCCATCTATGTCCACTGTGAGCGACCATCTTTGAACAGAGGCGGTGTCTGCCATCTATAATCCAGTTTTGAGTTACCTCCCCAGACGCCTTAACGCCCACTCACACCCTGGGCCATCTGACCTCAGGAATTCGCATGATAAGGTGGGGCCAGGTTTCACAATGAGCTCACCCGAAACCCTGGCTGATTGGGACCCACACCCAGTTTCACACCTTGGCTCAGGCGATTAGAGGATCATCAGGGGGTCCTTTTGTCCCTCTGCGGGGGGACACTCCCACTAGGTTTAAATCAGGGACTCCCCACCATTTGACCTTAGAACTGAAGAAGCTTCTCGGATGAGAGGTGAAACGTCTTCAAGTAACTTAAAGAAGTCCAGACGCTTTTCTTTGCAAGCTCCTTTGACCATGTGCTGAACAGCACTCCAAACCTTTCATCAACTGAAAACAGTTGATACATCATGAAACCAAAAATACAACGAAGTCAAAGAAGAAGAGAAACAAGGATACTACACAGTGGTAAACACAGCTGTTACCCAACTTTTTTGAACGTGCTGCTGCCACCAAATTCAAAATGACTTATTTTGTTCATAAAATGGCAAATTTCTAAGTTTCAACATTCAATATGTTTTCTATGTTCTATTGTGAATGAAATATGGGTTCATTGCATTCTCTTTTTATTTAAATTTTACATAGCACATGTATGGAATGAGGGTTGTATATGAGTATCATTTGATATACTGGACTTATGTTAATGTGCATTTGGGAGCATCAAAAGTTTTCTTTTTCTTTTTTTTTTAACAACATCTCCATGAAATTACTCTAAAGCAGGGGTCGGCAACCCTAGGCACGCGTGCCAACTGTGTCACGTGAAGGGTTAACTGATGGCACGACCATAGCTGGACTGGCCATCAGGCATACCAGGCATTTGCTCGGTGGGCCGATGATTTTTTTTTTGTAACGGTATAAATGAAAGGTGGTGGATTGGCCAGTTGCTGGCCGGTGTGTAAAAATAACTCAGTTGTTTGGTGGTGGCTATGGCGTAGCTTCCACAGATTCAGTAAAATTAACAAGTGGTGGAGGCTGGCAGGTGGACGAGGGAGAGGGGAGGCAGGAGGAGGAGAAACCCGAGGCGGCCACTGGTCTGAGTGTGAACTGAACTTCAGGTAAGAAGTTATGACTACAGTCCATCTGGGTCAGATATAAACCAAGTTTAGGTGGAGTTTATTTTCATTGTGCTGACTTTTTACAGTCAGTTACAATAACTCGTACTGCGTGCTAGCTAGCATGACGGAGTTTCTATACAGCTGGGTGGGTGCTATGATGTTACTGATGTTGAACTTTATTTTATTTATAAGGTTAATTACTAGAGTTGCCAACCGTCCCGCATTCAGAGAAATTATTACGTGTTTCGTGTTGAGCTGAGAAGGGACGCAGTTTGTCCCGGACTTCAGCTAGAATGGAAAAAGACACAAAGGTGGAGTTATTCTGTCTTTACGCTGCACAGCTGCCTCTTCTCTCATTCTCTCTCTCCTGTTGCTACTTTAATCATGAAACTGATCAATGATCAGCTGATTGGCTTTTCTCTCTTGTTTGTTTATCGCCCACTTTGCGCCAGAAAGAGGAAACTGAGGAGCTGTCCGCTCAGCGCAGCGTCAGCACCATGGAAATACACGGATACATCCGTAGACTCGAGACACAATGCGTTTTTGGGACTTTCAGGTGTATGGACCAATGTTTTCTTTTCTGATCAAACCAGAAATCTTTAATGAGCAGCTGGATTTGTCTCGCATTAACTGGCTGAGTTAATACCAGTTAATGCAACATCGAAGCAGCTGGAATCCACAGCTGTGCGTGTTCATGGAGCTTGCATTTTCACCAGCTGGACATCACTACCTGACAAGTTTAACTGTCTTCACAACATTGCAGAGGCCTTATTGACAGTATTTGGCTCCACATATCTGTGTGAGCAGATTTTCTCTCACATGAGTGTTAGAGATGGCACGATACCACTTTTTTATGTCCGCTACCGATATCATAAATTTGTATATCTGCCAATACCGATATGAATCCGATATAGTGTATTTTTTAATCAATAAAACTGTTTTTTAATATCTTGCTGCATTTTTTATAAGTTCATACTCAAGTTTAAATAAACAACAACACTAAAGCTATTCCGTTATACCTGTATGTAAAAAATACACTGCATCCAAAATATTTCATAGTTCAGCAATACTGATAAATCTAATAAACTTAAACCTACACAATCCTTCCTATTCTGGTATTTTAAAGAGCACTTAGCAGAAATATTAAGCAACCTAACTAATAGGGTTGCAAACTCCCAGCAAAAAAAAAAAAGGAAACCACCCCCCACCCTCCACCTCATGATGCTTAATCAACGTAATCAACTTTAATTTGATGCAGTGTGAAAACAAAAATGCACAGAATTAAATTATTTTTCAAGAATAATTAAATAGATTCAACATCTTTCTTCAACAGAACTGCAGACTGCACAGATGGTATCTTCCCAAAGGAAAAAGTACTATAGCTTACTAGGGTATATTAGACTTAACAGTTACTATATACAGTAATGGACTTCTATACATTTTACATCAGATTAAAACTTTGGGTGTAAGATTCAGATAATTATTTATTAAAAGCTACACATTTTAAATGAGAATAAGAAAGAAAAGTATGTCTTTGTGCCCCCTTTTCCCAGTTAATGCTCTATCGGCCCCCCTGGCTAAACTTTGCTAGATCCGCCCCTGCACAGTTACCAGCCGTCAGCTACGTAGAAAAAGATCCTGGTGTAGAAAGTAATATTAAATAAATTCTAACAACAGCTTATCAAGCTTAAACGTGCTGCTGTTGTTCAGCTGCTGGTTTCCTCTTTCTGGCGCGAATGTGTGCCAAAAACAAACAAGAGAGACGGAGTCGCGACAGGAAAGCCGATCAGCTGATCATTAATCAGTTTCACGTTTGAAGTAGCAGCAGGAGAGAGAAGGAGAGAGAGGCAGTCGCTCCATATATTGGTTGTTAAGCTTAACGCAGGAATGCTTTACAAACATTCAGAGATGAACTTACACACTTGCTTAACTTCTCTCTTGGATAACTTCCTCTGAGTTTGGTAGTGAGGCTCCAAATACACACAGCCGCTCTATCATGTGAGCACACTGCTCCGAAGTGCAACGGTTATGGGCCGAGTTACGCCGTGTCGCAAGTTTTGTGAGGTGCTTTTTTGATATTTAATGGATCGGATTACATTTTTTATTTCTCTCCGATATCCGATCCAGTAATTTACGTCAGTATCGGACTGATACCGATACGTAATATTGGATCGGTCCATCTCTAATGAGTGTCCTCGGGTAGCTGTCTGAATGCTGGACACTCGGAGACCTGTGTCTCTGAGTGGGAGACCAGAGATCAGATTAATATGTGTATTAACAAACATGCCATATTGGCCCAGTTTATTTTTCTTATCATTGTTGTGAGGAGACCATAAATAGCATTTGTATTTTTTGTTGTACAGTTAATTTGCTGTTATAGAGTTCTTGTTATGAATAAAAAGTGTCATTTTTTGTTTCAAAAGAGCTGATAACTATTCGCTGATAGCTGCCAACATCTGCAAACAAATATAATTCTATAAAGTGGTTCTATATAGTGTGTGACTGTTAATATAAAGCATTATTAAATTTATTGCTAATACATCATATGGCACATTGACTTCTGAGAAAATTTTAGATGGCACTCGCCATCAAAAAGGTTGCCTACCCCTGCTCCAAAGATTGCTGTGCTTGGACTTTCTTCTCATCAGGTTCAGTGGTAAAGCTACACTGTACAGTAAATAAAGGTTTTTTCCTGCTAACTGGACTAATAGCGGGAAGTTTGGGGCAATTTAAGGTGTGATTAAATATTTTAAGCTTCATCTATAACAAGGCATTGAACAATAAACCCAAGGACCATTAAAAAGAGAGTTTGGAAGGTAATTTTAACCACTGTCTTTCTGACAGTTAGATAAGGACTCCATTCAATAATAAATTACAGCCAGTAAGTGCTGCACGGTGTTTGAAAACAGATAAATATACTTAGCCTGACTTAGCCTGATGCAAGTTTAAAAGAATACGTTGTAGTGTTATGAGTGGTTTATGTGCAAAAATACATGCAATAAATTATACACGGAATACATGGAAATTGCTACAAAATTCATTTAACGCTAATGTTTTTAAAGTGTAAAGAGAAAAGCCAGCAACAGCCTTTGGTAACATTTTACAGTGGTTCGAAAACGTGTTTCCCCCCGTCTTAAATTCCCTATTTTTTTGCATATTTGTCACACACTTATATGTTTCAGATAATTAAACAAACGGTAATATTAGATAATATAAGATAAGCTGAGTCAAAACAAAATGTAGTTTTTAAGTGAAAAAAGTTATCAAAACCTATCTGGTCTTGTGTGAAAAAGTAATTAACCCTGCCCCCTTGTTAAATCATGAATTAACTGTGATTAAACAGGTTTTTTGTAAAGCTGAGTTCAGTTTCACTAAACACACTCAGGCCTGATTACTGGCAGACCTGTTGAATCATTCAAATAACAAGGCCTGGACTGCTTTAACTAACACGATCTGTATGCTGGCTTAAACAGAATTATGGTTACTGTTTGACAAAGACTCACTGGTAACCAAATTGTTCTGATGATAAGTGATAGTACTGATAAGTTCTACAATATTCAAGAAGTCCAGTTTGACCTCTCAGTATCTCACATTAAACAACAGTGAATTTAGGGCATGTTAAAAATCCCAATCCTCAAATTTGCTGTTCACACAGAGAAAATCATAAAAAAGATCTTAAGACAATAAGTTAAAAAAATGCAATGAAAATACAACAACAGCATCAAAAAAAAAAAAACAATCACAGAGAGCAAAAAGGCTTACTTTTAGTTGCCTTCTGGGACATCTTCACATGCTCGCTGAGCCTCTCATGACTTCACAATATGTGGTCACCCTGATAGTAGGTACAGGAATAAGAAAGCTCAAATATTTGCACATATGACACTGCCTTTACTGTAAAAAAACAAAACAAAAAACAACTGAAAATGTGATCTGAAAGTCAAATGACATGAAAACTAAGATGTAGAGCATTTTGCACACATATGTAAATGTGTTCAAAGCATTTAAAAAAAGAAGGATCACAACACGTTTCACAACTACAAGCAACAGCTAAAAATACTCTAAGTTAAAATTAAAACACACAACAGTGTGCACTAGCTAAAAGCAAACCTATACAAATAAGCCTTGAAGCGCTCTTTAAAACTTTCAATAAAGTCCAGAGATTTCAAATGTATTAGTAGTGCACAAGGTTATTGTAATTAGCTGAAACTAAACTAAAAACTAATCACAAAAAAACCATTTTAATTCACTAAAATAAGTATAAAATTAGACCTTTGAAAGACTCGTTAGAAAATATAAAACTTTAATAACTCTAATAGTGCATTCCGTAGTTCACAAGCTCAAAGCTCATAATCTGTTTTAGTTTTCAGTCTAGAACAAAGTGAACCACCAAGAGGTTTAGGGTGAAAGACCAAAATGACCTGTATGTAACTGTATGGATGTAGGAGTTACAAAGGTTTTGATAAAACCAAAGAAGAGGCTGTGAAAAATTACATAACGTCAATCACTTTGATGCAGTTCTCACATCCAGAAGTTGTCTCACTACTCTTAATGCAGTTCTCAAATCAGAAACACTTTTCTCCCCACTCAATTGCATTTCTCATTATTTTTATCTACATATACTTCACAACTAAATATATTTGTAATTATGCTGATGCACTTCTTACTTGAATCTCACAACTCATCAAAACAGCTTGTACTTTTGTCAGTCAGAACTGTAGATACTTTATTTCCTTGCATTTTTTCTCAGTTGCTTTAGTAATGTTTAGATGTAATTTCTTACATCAGAAACGTCATTCTCACCACTCTCCAAGCAGTTCTGAAAGTTATACAGTTAAGCATTTTTACAATTTTTTTTATACTTTTATTAAAAGGCATCTGAAGGACTTTCAGACCACGAGAAACAAAATTCTTTGGTTTGATGAAACAAAGATTAAAGTCTTTGGTCTGGATGCCAAGCATCATGTCTAGACAACATGTTCTCATCCCAACTCGTCACATACCCATGCGATAAGATAAATCGTCAGGATGTTACGCATTCAGAGGCATGAGAGCCGTTTGGAATGAATCTATACATGCAAATGTGTTTTACTCTCTGATCATGAATTGCTTTGGAAAACACTATCTGACAGGGTAAAGGTTATGGTTAGGGTTAAGGTTAGGGTAAGGGCTGGAGCGTGTGTTACCGCTGCGAGCAAATTCAAATTCAAATTCAAATTTTATTTGTCACGTACACAGTCATACACAGTACGATATGTAGTGAAATGCTTGGACAACTGCTCGTGACCTAAAGAGAACAAAAAAGGAAAAGGCTATGAATAAGATAGGAAATAAATATGAAAAATTAAAAAGGGTAAATTTAACTAGGAAGGAATAAAATATAAATTAAGGTTAAAAATGAAATAACTGTACAACACAAATTAGAATGAAGGGTAAATTTAACTGGGAGAATAAGATAAAGATAAATATATAAATTAAAGTTGAAAATAAAATAGCTGTACAACAAAATACACAATACACAATATAGAACTATATAAGAATGTATGAAGAAATCTAAATATAAATAAATATATACACAATAACAGCAGCTGTACAAGTATTAACCGGAAATGAAGAATATAGTGACCAGTGTTGTGCAAAAACAAAGTCCAGAAAGTCCAGTGTGTGTGTAAGAACCATATGTGTGGGTCAGTACTGTGTGGTGGTGTGATTGAGAGACCGTATCGCCTGCGGGAAGAAGCTCCTCCTCAGTCTCTCTGTGTTGGTCTTCAGGGAGCGGAATCGCTTTCCTGACCTCAACAGAGAGAACAGTCTGTTGTTGGGATGGCTGAGGTCCTTCACGATCTTCCTGGCCTTGGTCCAGCACCGCCTGCTGTAGATTGAGTGCAGGTCAGGGAGCTCGGAGCGGATGGTGCGCTCAGCTGACCGCACAACCCTCTGTAGAGCTCGTCTGTCCTGCATGGTGCTGTTCCCGAACCAGGTTAAGATGTTTCCCGCCAGGATGCTCTCTATGGTGCACGAGTAAAAGTTCCTGAGCACCTTGGAGGGCAGTTGGAAGTCTCTCAAGCGTCTGAGGTGGTAGAGACGCTGTCGGGCCTTTTTCACCACGGTGTTGATGTGACAGGACCATGACAGGTCCTGCGTGATGTGAACTCCGAGGTATTTGAAGCTGTCCACTCTCTCCACTGGGCACTCGTTGATGACGGGGGTCTGGTAGTTCCTCTCCTGCTTAGTGCTGAAGTCCACTATCAGCTCCTTTGTCTTACTGACGTTTAGAAGGAGGTTGTTCCTCTGGCACCAGTTCTCCAGATTCCTAATCTCCTTCAGGTAGGCCGTCTCGTTGTTATCAGAGATCAGGCCCACCACGACGGTGTCGTCAGCAAACTTGATGATGGTGGTGGAGCTGGTAGTGGCCACACAGTCATATGTGTACAAAGAGTACAGCAGGGGGCTCAGAACACACCCCTGGGGGGCTCCAGTGCTGAGAGTGGTGGAGGCTGAGACGTGTCCGCCCATCCTTACTGCCTGTGGTCTGCCAGTTAGGAAGTTGGAGATCCACTGACACATAGATGAGCTGAGTCCCAGATGCTCCAGCTTGGTGGTGAGTGTGGAGGGAATTATGGTGTTAAATGCAGAGCTGTAGTCTATGAAGAGCATTTTAACATAATTCCCCCTTCTAGTGTCCAAGTGAGTGAGTGATGTGTGGAGGAGATGAGAGATGGCATCGTCTGTGGAACGATTTGGACGGTAAGCGAACTGTAGTGGGTCCAGTGTGTCTGGTAGTGAAGAAATGATGAAGTCTCTGACCAGGCGTTCAAAGCACTTCATCACGAGCAGCATTCTATTGGATTCAACTGAGAATCTGGAGCGTATCATAAGGACGCCAAAGGGTACCTTTCGCATTGCTATGAGATGCCTCGGGACATGACAAATTGCCGGTATGTCACACGCTAGGAAAGAGAATGCTCGGGTCTGGGGAAAACCAGGCACCGTTCATCACTGCGGAAATGCCATCCCTACAGTAAAGCATAGCATCATGCTCTGGGGATGTTTTGCAGCACCAGGAACTAGGACAATAGTGGGGGTAAATGGAAAAATGAATGCAACAATGTACAGAGACATCCTTGATGATAACCTGCTCTACAGTGCTCTGGATCTCAGAGTGTGATAAAGGTTCATTTTGCAATAGGACAATGACTTGAAGCACACAACCAAGATAAGAAAGTATACAAAACTAGTAAAAACTATAATTGGACCATGTCGGATTCATAATAAACTGGTCACTGAACGAAAGGATATAGTGTCATTTTTAGCACTTTGTGCTTGGTTCAGTAATGCACATCTTATCTATTATCTGATTTGTGACAGAAGCCAGAGTCCTTCAGAAACAGTTTAGCATGCCTGCCCATGCTTCAGAATCAGCGGAAGGAGTGCAAAGCAGAACGTCTATTTTAGGATACACATGAGTGCACATGCATTTGCTACATTAACAGTAATATAATACTGGTACAAATTTCTTAACACTACCACAGGGTTGCTCTGCAGATTGTACTTCTGGAATAGACTGTAGGCCAGTCAGGGCACCTACAGTAAAAAAAATGGTTATCTCCCAACATGAAATTTAATATAATGCTGCTGCCAACTGAATCAGGGACGAGTTATATATGGGTAACGCCGTGTGTGTGTGTGTGTGTGTGTGTGTGTGTGTGTGTGTGTGTGTGTGTGTGTGTGTGTGTGTGTGTGTGGATATGAAGCCAGCTTCCTATCCAGCTCCAGATCCTGTGTTATTGTTCAGGAAAACACAAAAGAACTGAAGAATGTGGACAGGCGCACGCTTGTAACGCAACTGTATTTTCTTTGATAAAACACAGTTATTTTGTTTTTTCCTCTCCACCTCACTGTGGTCTCCTGCTGTCCACAGAATTACAGGATGAACATGTTCTACGCTTGTACTCATTGTTGTGCTGGACTGTTGTGGAGCCATTTGTTTGCTTCAGATGTTTCACTTAAATAAACTCAGTTACTCTCTGAACAAATTGATTTGTTAGTTCAGACATGAACTAAAAGCTGCTTCCCCGTTTCCTTTGCTAACCCTGCAACTATTTCAACAGTTTGTTTGGCAGTCGAGCCATAGTTTAAAAAAAAAAGACTTAGAGTTAAAATTGAACAGATCTTGCAGACATTACAATGATGTCAGATCGAAGTACTTCCTAAACACTGCCCGGATGTCACTGTTAGACTTTCTAGCAATACAAAGTTCAAGAATTGTTTTAGCATAAAAGGAGACAAACTAAAGCTTTCAACTCACAACCTCACACTTTTGGGCTCTGCACTATCCTACTAAGCTGATTAACCTGATGTTTATGTGATGCCATTCCTGAGTTTTTGCTGTTGACATCGCAGACAGAGAGGAGATAACTGTAACTGTAAGAGCCCTATGTGTTACGTTCACTGTGGACTTTCTGACAGAGCGCTCCACAGGGCCGTGTGTTAACACCTCTGCTTTTCACTCTGCTGACTCATGACTGTGCTAAGTCACACAACCTCAACCACATCATGAAGTACGCTGATGACACAACTGTGCAGGACATGATAAGCAGCAATGATGAGTCAGCATACATCCCACCCTCGCTCATCATCAACGGCTCTGCTGTGGAGATGGTTTGGACCACCAACTTCCTTGCACATAACTGAAGAACTCCTTATCAAAGATATCTCAGCAGAGAGTGAACTTTGTGATACAGCTGAAGGAAGGAAGCTTCCCTTCTCCCAACCTCACCACATCCTACACAAGCACCATCAAGAGCATTCAGGCCAGCTACATCACTATCTGACACGGCAACTGCAACGTATCTTGCCGCAAGCAACTGCTGTGGGTAGTGAGCATTACTGGAGCCTCACCCGCCACTACAAGAGGATGGAATACATATTGTGATTTACTGTTATGTTCTGGCTAATGGTATGTTCTGGTGCTCAAAACAGAGACGTACAGCTTTTGTGCAATCTTAAAAAATCCACAAAACTCTCTTAAAAACTCCTACAAACAGCTAGAATCATGCTACTTTTGTGCTCACCGCAAATGAAACATTTTTATTGATAATTTCTTGAGATCAAATTGTCCAGATCAGCTAAATTGCCACTTAAGTGACATTTTCAGTGATACAGTGACATTTTTCACACTTCTACATTCAAAAATGGAAATACTGCTGTACGGAACATTAACAGAAATTTGGTTGGGTATGCAAGACCGTTTTAAGACTTTTTAATGCACCATAATTACACATTCTCCTAACAAACGTCTTTATTAACACTTGCACACTGATCACTAAATGAAACAAAGCTCCTCAGGAACCAACCAGTGGTTTAAAACAAACAAACAGGACATCTTACCTTTTTCTTCTTTCATTTCAAAAGGCTGGGTCCTCAGTTGTTCCTATGTAATCAGTCTGGGATTTTCCCTGCAGTAAAATGAAACTGCGATCAGTCATATAAAGGCAAACAGAGAAAGCCTGCACAGTAAACATATTAACTTTGATATCCTTTTCTCCTCGTCTCCAAACTAACTAAAGAACCATGTCAAAATTCCAGCTATGAAGAGAAAGTAAGCAAACTAAATAAGAAACATGGATAGCAAATTACTGTATTGCTGTGGGATGAATGAACTATAGATGCACAATAGCTGTCTGCGTGAGATACAGTCTAGAGGAAGGGTGGAGCGATGGCAGAGTGGAGAAATAGGCTGACTGGTACTGAAATAAAACTTCCACAGGATGTTAAGGGCAAACAGAGCAGAGCCAGATGAAGGTTTAGTCCTATCAGAAATGCCCTTCACCACAGATGCTCCTTAAAGTATCACTGTAAGTCTAATCATGGATCAGGAAAGAAATCCAGACAGACCACTTAAGAGGCCAGTCACAGACTGCAGTGATTATAGATGAGTCAGGCAGCTACCACGGAAAAGCACAGGGGAAGTAATTCCAGCAACAGTACTCCATGGGAAATTTGTTGTCAGTGATGTATTGGTTTAAACTGTTTCCACCAAAATTCTCAAGGAAAGTCAGGGCTGGCAAAGCAATACTTATCATTAATACTTAAGCTAATGTGATCACTGGTTAAGATAACTGCAACATATGTGCTCTGTATTTAAGGTTAGTTAAGGTATTCAAGGGGTTGGGAAGCTCATCTTGTAACCAGAAGGTTGCCGGTTTGATCCCCAGGTCTGTCTGTCCTGGTCGTTGTGTCCTTGGGCAAGACACTTCACCCTACCGCCTACTGGTGTTGGCCTGAGGGGCCGATGGTGCGATATGGCAGCCTTGCTTCTGTCAGTCTGCCCCAGGGCAGCTGTGGCTACAGCTGTGGTTTGCCTCCACCAGTGTGTGAATGTGAGAGTGAATGAATAGTGGAACTGTAAAGCGCTTTGAGTGTCTAGAAAAGCGCTATATAAATGCAATCCATTATTATTTTTATATTACTGTGTTACAGGCCTTGTGAGTAAGAATATGATCAATGGTAATTTCACTCACTCGTGTTTGCCCTGTTCATTCATTTTGAACCAGTGTGAGAACATGTCTTCGTACAGACATCACCATGATATCCTTGTACCCCGGGCAGATTCAATTGGGTTTGTCATTTTCATACTTTAGCAAACAGATCACAATAACTACAGTAAACTTACATAATGTAACTGGATCTGACAATTAAAATAAATATTGTAATTTTACCATCATGTCGTGTCAAACTGTTAGGCAAAAAACAGAGAGCAACAGTTTTTAATGCAATAGTTGGAATCCACAAAAGTCAACAAGTATTTTAAAACACCCTGAGGAAAGACTCCTACAAACAGCTAGAAGCACGCTATCTGTATACCTCTGGCAGCAATAAGCATACTTAAGGGTCTTTTATGCTCACTGTAGAGTAAGCATTTTGAGTGATAGATGATAAAATATCAAATTGTCTGGATTGGCTAAGTTGCCACATCAGTGACATTATCATAATTTCAGAATGTACAGTAGATCAGTGATTCCTGAGATTAGGGACAAAACAGGCTTTAATTTTCTAAAATATATTTTTTGATTTTTCAAAAATATATTTAAATATAATTGTTGTACAAAGTTTGGCTGTCTCACCAAGTTTTGGTCCAATCTCCCAGGTGTAACATTTTTTAATAATTTATGGTTTTTGCTGGAGAAGTACAGGGCTTTTGTGCCTTTCCTTTATGAAAAACTCTTCCTTCAACTCAGGGTGGCTGTTAATTTTTTTTCTCCTTTTTTGATACTCCCTGCTCCTCCTCTTTCATTCCATTACTGACAGGTTCCCCTTAGCCATTCTAGCCTGAAATGTACCATTTTGTAATTACTATAATTTTTCTGAACCATATGCATTTATACAGATTAAGGATCAATATTCACAACACAATTATGTATTAAGCAATAGAAATGCTATCCGGTCTTTAAGTCTGATGTCATTAGCCGTTTCCAGGTCCAAACTCCGCTGCATATCCCAAAGTCAAAGGAACTCAGCAGCATCACTGCGAGTTACAAACTATCTAAATTCTTTCATCTTTAATAAAACGATCAGTGTAGCTGAGTTAGAAGTTAGCTCGCTGATTTCCACCTACATTCCAACATAAATGAAGACAGAAAACTAAACAGCAGTGACTTTTGTCAGGTTACTGAAGTTGGACTAGCTGGTATATAATGATGTGCTAGTTGATCGCTAGCGACACAGCTATGTTAGCGTAACATAAACCAGGGTAGGGCTGGGCCATATTATACCGTTCACAGTAATACCGGTATAATGTTAGGCAACGATAGGAAAATGAAATATCGCGATAGAATATGAGTAAAACGCGCATGCGCAGTGCCTTTGTTTTCATACGCACATGGCCGATTGTTGAGTGAAACAGATGAACCAGAATTGGTTTGTAAAAATGGTGCAACTTCAGTGATGTGGAACTGGTTTGGTGTTTGTCCGTCAGATACACGACAAAGCACATGTTTTTGCAGAACATGCAAGCGGCTATCGTTATTGTCGTATTTGTCGGACTAAGATGCTCTTAAGTCTTGGAGTAATCTGGGTCCTAAACTCCGTATACTTCAGGTCAAACGAACACTGCAGCATCACTGAGTGTTCAAAACTGTCTAAATTCTTTCATCTTTAATAAAACGATCAGCATTGCTGCTTTACCAGGTGTAACTATGAAGTTTAACTTCCAGGCATCCATGAAAACAAAATTTATTACATTTAACGAAGTTAGAAGTTAGCAGGAAGCTAGCGGAAGTTAGCTCGCTAGTTTCGCTAGTTACCTAAGCATGATATAGCATGTTCTGACAGAGATTTCTGAAAAAATTCAAACGTACAGCTCTACTATCACTTCCAACATAAATGAAGACAGGAAACTAAACAGCAGTGACGTTTGTAGGGTTACTGAAGTTGGGCTAGCTGGTATATAATGATGTGCTACGTGATCGCTGGCGACACAGCTATGTTAGCATAACATAAACAGTGAAGCTGGAGGACGAACACTAACACTTTTCCACTTATAAAAGTTAACGCGAAGGTTCCTCATGGTTAGAGACAAATGCAATCGCATGGCAGGATGCTGTAAACGGACCAAACTTCAGTCAGGAGAACAACTAAGATAATCCATCCACAATACAAGGTTAGTCATTAATATACTGCAACAACATGGGAATAGAGCAGCTGCCAGAGAATTCAACATTAATGAATCAATGGTACAGAAGTGGAGGAAGCAAGAAGAATGAGTTTAATAAAGTTTGATTTATCTGACTGCTTTGTTTCGCTTAATGTGCGTTATAATCCCGTGCACCAAAAAATACGTACTGCACACTGCAGTTTAATGTTGCAAAGCACCTCTTTTTAACTTCAGTGGATATTATACATAGTTATGCTCAGGATATGTCAGCCCATTTCTACTGGAAATGCCTTTTGGTTAAACTTTCAGCAAGGAATTTGCATTTGCATTGTTACATTTTTATAAAGCTTTAATGTACATAAAAACCAGCTTCTTGTTTAAGTGAAAATAAATGGAAGGTTGTCTTTTTGCGCTAGTAATGTTGTGGAGTTGTATTTTGTCTCGCATCAATTATATCGTCAGTTATATCGTTATCGCAAATTTTCAAATATATATCGTGATAAATATTTTTGGCCATATCGCCCTGCTCTAAACCAGGGGCCTCAAACTCGCGGCCCGCAGACCATTTGTGGCCCACATCACCTCTATTTGCGGCTGCATATTGATGTGAAGAAATATTTTTTTTAAATTGTTATACGAAAAATGATTTAAACGACAGCATAGTGTTACAGGCATGGCCCTTTAAGACTGTAGCCTCATGGGCGGTGTAGTCCTTGCTGCAGGGAAAACGTGTGGGACCGCCCCTCCCGCTGTGTGTGTGTGAGCGTGAGGGAGGGAGAAAAACAAAAGTCGACATCATCACTTAAAGACCAGCTCTCGGGGCAGAGATAGCTCAGTAGACGCCACATAATCGGAAGGTTGGGCGTTCAAATCCAAAGAACATCGGTTATCCTGGATTTGTAGCTGCCTACTGCATCACTGAGTGAGTGGGTTAAATGCAGAGGACTAAGCATTTTCCTACAGGATTAATAATGTATACATAAACAATGAGATTCAAGATGGGTCAAATTCGATAATATTCGACACACCTGTAAAGTAGAAATATCAGTAAAATACACAGTAAGTAATATGACTGAATTATTAATAAAAAATAACTTAATATACTTGATGAATAGCGAACTTTTTTGGCATTTGTCAACACCATTAGAAAAAGGGTCAACACCGTCAGACAAAAATCCTGATGGTGTTGACATCCGATGGTGCTGACAAAATACCCTACTTTCTCTCATAACACATCTTTTTCTGACAGAAGCCATCTTGTTTTTCATCAGTTGCTTATGACCTCTACAATCCACCTAAATGAAGCTTTTTTTACAAAAAAAAAAAAATTAAATCTTGCATTTCATCGACTTTGGTGTTGACGCATTGTTGTTACAGAAAGGTATGCCATAAATGAAATAAAAATTTAAAAAACTTATCACAGCAGTGACCTCATGACATGTGTATCAAACAGGAAGTGGTAAAGGGGTCCTCAGAGTGTAAGCTATCCACAATAATTCCTGATTTTTTTGTACTTTTAAAAAAATCTGATGGTGTTGACAAAAACTCTGGACACAATTTTAATCACTTAAAAAATATGTAAAAACAAATTTTCAATTGCATATTTTGATATTATATAAGTTATTGACTTAAATACTCCGTGACGAGAGCCATGATGTTTAATTTTACATAACTTTTAGTTTTTTTTCTGTATTTTAATATTATCACACCTGCTTCTGGACAATGGATTTTTAAGGTACTGGTAATGTATTGTACCATTAAAAATAAATATATATGTATGATAAAATGCAAAATCATACTTTTGTTTTATACTCATTGCCTTGGTTTGTCTTTTAGTCAGTTGAGTTAACACTTATATGCATATTTTTTACCCCAAAATTGGGTTTTATCTGGCGGACATGTTTTGTCCCTCAAGAATCACTGAGATCTTTGTTGCCCTTTCCTGTGGTGGCTCTGTTTTCATGGTTACCATTGTTGCCTCAAATTTTTATCATCTCCCCTGTGCTTGTAAAAATTATTATGTGAGAGTCAGCTCTTATAGCCTTGTAAACATAGCCTCTCTAGCCTCTCCATACACTCCCTTGATTTTATGTTTACAGCAGCTTGAGCAAAGTCTTTAAAAAATATATGAGATTCAGTGAATATTAGTAACAGACTAGAGAATATATGCAGGAAAGAAAATAAAACATTTCTTCATCTTCCTCCTCTTTGCCACCCCTCCAGCTGGTGACGCCCTAGGTTGGCACATTGTTAGGCAAACCCAAAATTAAAGAGTTGCAAGCTTCCATTTTAAAGTTTCAATTTCAGTAGCTTGGCTGCTAGACCTAATCATATGCATAAATTACAAGACAGTAAATTGTAACTATATATTATGCGAAATGGACAATTTAACAGTAATTCTTGAATACCAGGCCTCCCTGACGCAATATTTATGGTAATTATGGGACCAACACGGTCAGCGGGAAGATAAAAAATTGTCCAAAATGGCCTTTTTCCTCTAAAATCCTTTTCAAATAACAGGTTGTTTCCCTCAACCTCTAATAATACCGTAATGGATTGCATTTATATAGCGCTTTTCAGGACCCCTCAAAGTGCTTTATAATACCACTATTCATTCATTCTCACATTCATACACTGGTGAAGGCAAGCTACAGTTGTAGCCACAGCTGCCCTGAGGCAGACTGACAGAGGCGAGGCTGCCATATCGCGCCATCGGCCCCTCTGGCCATCACCAGTAGGCGGTAGATGGAGTGTCTTGCCCAAGGACACAACGACCGAGACTGTCCGAGCCAGGGCTCGAACCGGCAACCTTCCGATTACAAGACGAACACCCAAGGAACAGTGCTGATTTTCTAACACTGGAATATTTCTAACATTTTGAGTTATTTTCCAGCGTTAGAAAATCAGCACTGCTCAGTGTTAGCCATTGTTAATCTTCAAAACTGACTAGGTTACTTTTAAACATATAACACTGTCAAAAGTGTTAATTTAACACTCAACAGTGTTGTATTTAACACTCAGAGGTGTGGACCCATATAGACACTCTCCAGTAGAGCTGGGCGATATATCGAGTTTTTAAAACATATCGATATATTTTTATACGAGATATAAGATGTGACAATATCCTTTATATCGATATAGTCTATGTTACGTTATAATTATAGTTGTGGAGCCGCAAGTTTGCCTCTCTTTCGTCCACTTTTGTCTCTACGCAACGTTACTCCGCCTCGCCTTCACTGAAGACAACTCCCCTCCTCCCCCATCGCTTCACATGCAGGCAGCGACAAGACGGACACGGCAAATCTCCGTTAACGAGTTACTGCGCATCGCCCCATGCGTGGGGCTGGACGGCGTCAACGTGCTAACGAGCTAAACATGCTAACGAGCTAACAGCGCTAACCCTAAAATCCTTTCATTCTCTCAAAAGTTGATAGCGCGCCTTATGTATGAATTCTGGTTGTGCTTGATGGCTGCGAACTGATTTTATGTGGTACACGGCGCTCAGCAATCTGTCAAAAATGTTTGAGTACGACTTTGGTAAGCTACGGAGCTGCACCGCTTGATAGATTGTCGGCGCATTACGGCTACCGAGGAGCTTCGCGGAGTGATATGTACTGTGCATCAACGTAATATTACCGTATTGTGTGTGTATAAGGACCATAAATGGCACCTGTAAGAGACGTGGTTATGAAGCGGATTTCAAACTCCAGGCTATCAGTCACACAGTAAAACTTGGGAACAGAGCAGCTGTGAAATCTGTCTGTCTTTGTTATTACGCTCAGCGTCTTTTAGTTTACATTTTGACTGCACAATTGTGAGCTCTTTGTTTAGCACAAAAACAACCTTGTTTTCTTTTATTTATGGAGCATTATTATTTAATGAATGCTCATAATTTAATTTTGAGTAATTTTTCATGTACATCTGTGCTGTATGTTAATAAAAGTGCCTGTGTGACATCTGGGACACAGCTTTGACTAAGAACTCTCTTTTTGTTCTTACTTTATGGCTTAAAAAAAAAATCGAGATATATATCTTATATCGCCATCCAGCTAAAAAATATCGAGATATGAATTTTGGGTCATATCGCCCAGCCCTACTCTCCAGTGTTAATTTAACACTGGAGATTTTGCTGTGTACATCTTTTTTTCTAGTTGTTTCAAGTGGCAACATGTTTCAAAAGACCTAAAGTATTCAGTTTCAATCTGTTGCTATAACAGCAATGGCATAAAGGAATATTGGAAGTAAATACTTGGGTGTTTTCCCATGTTTGTCAGTGTGTTGTACTCTTGGAACATGAGGAAGTACCTCCATAACAGGAACTTCTTCAAGGCTGCATGATGGCTCACATCGAGGAAATCAAATCTTAATTATACAAAATACAAATTTGCAGTACTTAACGATGCCACAAGACAGTCTTCTTAACTTCCTCACACAGAAAAAAAAAACAATTATGGGTTATGACACGAAAAAACTGACACATTGCTCAAAATTAGAGTAATCGATATGCTGTAAACACCATGTATGTGTGTGCGTGTGTTTGTGTGTGTACTTTTGGAAATGAATTAGGTTTTTATTGTTTTATTAAAAGATCCAATTTGTTTAAGTTTTATTTCTGGCAGCAGCTGTCCATTTCCAGCCTCATTGACCATCCAATCTCTCATTCACTACACAGTTTGACATCTGCAGGCAATTATCTACACATATTATCTCCACCGTGTGAAGAACAGACATGAAGGCATCTGCACGCTGCACCCTTCTGCACGTATACAAAAAAAAAAGGATTTCCATGGTGACATGGCTACTAAGTGTCGTACACAAACAACAAAATTAATTCCATCAAGAAGGTAAAGAGATACCAGATCAGACAAAAGGAAGCAGCTGCGTAAAAGTAGGCCTTCATTTAGACTTGCATAAGAATGACTTACAAAATTTCATAAGCTCGGAGCTCTAAATTCATGTCTGATTTGTTTACGTTTTTCGTGTGTTGACCCTGGGATAGTGTACAGTGTTTGGAAGGGCAACGTGGGAGACTTAATCTGAGTGTTGAGGAGTAAATGGAAAATATTCGATCTGAAAGCGAACCAAGATATGCTGTAATTAATGAGGTATTTAATCTGATGTTTCTCCTACAACCACTGGAATAAAGAAGCAACATTAAAAAAAAACCCCCAAAGTAAAACAAGTGTTCTGCGAACGTCCTTCTCTATCGTCTCTGGTACGGCTTTTTTAACAGAGACATATCTAACGCGCAATTGACCAAAGTACACAAGAGTCCTGTGGGCACTGCTTACACAGGCTTTTCCCAGTTCCATCCCAGCTTCATTTTGTTCCGTTGTGAATAAAAAATAAAATAAAATCTGTGAAAAGCTCCTCAAGCTTTCCAGTGTGCTTGCAGGGTCAGGGAATGATTAGGTTTGCCTGACATCAATGTTTTGGGGACAGATGTGTGTTTATAATATTTTTTGAGCCCAGCTTTGAGCCCAGCTAATTGATTCAAGCAGAAATGAGTCAGTACTGCAGAGACCATATTTAATGATTACCTTCAAGTTGCCACACACTTCATATCATTAATCTCGATTATATATGATATCTGTAGAAGAAGAAAAAACTAAAGTCACTGCCATGAAGGAGACTAAACACAGAAAAAGGACACTGCACTTTGAGTTTGCATAATAAAATATGCTTTGTAAATACATTTTCCATTCCCATCTAATCCTACATACTCTTTCAGATGGTTGACATTGGAGACTCCACAGCCATCCTGATCTAAAATTCAGCCATGCCTAAACTACCAAGGAAACAGAACAGGGAAAAAATGAAAAAGGGAAGTGTAACAGGAATGGATTAGTAATCCATTTAAAGCTACTCTCGCCTGTTCTCTTAGTCACAGAAGTTGCAAAGGTGTGTAGCTCAACATGACGCAAGCTCCAAGGGAATTTAGTTCGTAAAATCCCATATAAGTGTATAATAAACCTTATCAATGACCTTTGAATGCAGTCAAATATTAGAGTCCAAGGTTATTATGGCAAATATTAAGGAGTATGAATGCAGGTACATCTTCAAAAGCGTCTTTCAATCATTCATTCATTCATCATTGCAACTTTTACAGCATGACATTTACTGCCCTGGACAACAGCAAGTGGGAACAAGGATGTCGTCAAAAGAGAGGTGTGCAACTCTAATGCAGACTGATATTCTGATGTTAAGATTTCAGGAGAATTTGTACTCTACTTGAGTCATCATGAGCGGCTCTTTTAAACGGGGAAGCTCAAGACTTACAGTGGGGCAAAAAAGTATTTAGTCAGCCACCGATTGTGCAAGTTCCCCCACCTAAAATGATGACAGAGGTCAGTAATTTGCACCAGAGGTACACTTCAACTGTGAGAGACAGAATGTGAAAAAAAAATCCATGAATTCACATGGTAGGATTTGTAAAGAATTTATTCGTAAATCAGGGTGGAAAATAAGTATTTGGTCAATAACAAAAATACAACTCAATACTTTGTAACATAACCTTTGTTGGCAATAACAGAGGTCAAACGTTTACTATAGGTCTTTACCAGGTTTGCACACACAGTAGCTGGTATTTTGGCCCATTCCTCCATGCAGATCTTCTCGAGAGCAGTGATGTTTTGGGGCTGTCGCCGAGCAACACGGACTTTCAACTCCCGCCACAGATTTTCTATGGGGTTGAGGTCTGGAGACTGGCTAGGCCACTCCAGGACTTTCAAATGCTTCTTACGGAGCCACTCCTTTGTTGCCCGGGCGGTGTGTTTTGGATCATTGTCATGTTGGAAGACCCAGCCTCGTTTCATCTTCAAAGTTCTCACTGATGGAAGGAGGTTTTGGCTCAAAATCTCACGATACATGGCCCCATTCATTCTGTCCTTAACACGGATCAGTCGTCCTGTCCCCTTGGCAGAAAAACAGCCCCATAGCATGATGTTTCCACCCCCATGCTTCACAGTAGGTATGGTGTTCTTGGGATGTAACTCAGTATTCTTCTTCCTCCAAACACGACGAGTTGAGTTTATACCAAAAAGTTCTACTTTGGTTTCATCTGACCACATGACATTCTCCCAATCCTCTGCTGTATCATCCATGTGCTCTCTGGCAAACTTCAGACGGGCCTGGACATGCACTGGCTTCAGCAGCGGAACACGTCTGGCACTGCGGGATTTGATTCCCTGCCGTTGTAGTGTGTTACTGATGGTGACCTTTGTTACTTTGGTCCCAGCTCTCTGCAGGTCATTCACCAGGTCCCCCCGTGTGGTTCTGGGATCTTTGCTCACCGTTCTCATGATCATTTTGACCCCACGGGATGAGATCTTGCGTGGAGCCCCAGATCGAGGGAGATTATCAGTGGTCTTGTATGTCTTCCATTTTCTGATGATTGCTCCCACAGTTGATTTTTTCACACCAAGCTGCTTGCCTATTGTAGATTCACTCTTCCCAGTCTGGTGCAGGTCTACAATACTTTTCCTGGTGTCCTTCGAAAGCTCTTTGGTCTTGGCCATGGCAGAGTTTGGAGTCTGACTGTTTGAGGCTGTGGACAGGTGTCTTTTATACAGATGATGAGTTCAAACAGGTGCCATTCATACAGGTAACGAGTGGGGGACAGAAAAGCTTCTTACAGAAGACGTTACAGGTCTGTGAGAGCCAGAGATTTTCCTTGTTTGAGGTGACCAAATACTTATTTTCCACCCTAATTTACGAATAAATTCTTTACAAATCCTACCATGTGAATTCATGGATTTTTTTTTCACATTCTGTCTCTCACAGTTGAAGTGTACCTCTGGTGCAAATTACTGACCTCTGTCATCATTTTAAGTGGGGGAACTTGCACAATCGGTGGCTGACTAAATACTTTTTTGCCCCACTGTATTTGTTTAGGCCTGCTCTCAACCAGCGGATATTACCGTTGTCTTTTTGTATTTGTATATTTATTTGTTGCATGCTGTTTGAAAAGTGTTATAAGAATCTATTTTACGTTCTTACTTACTTACATCTTCCAGTTCAACACAGTCGTGCTAATTGCTCTTATATTAATGCCGATTCTTAACAAACAACAACAACAACCTTTATTTATAGAGCACATTAAAAGCCTAGGCATACCAAAGTGCTTTACAAAAAAACAATAAAATAATACAGTTAAGAGCATTAATATCAAATATAATAAGAACAGCAGACAATGTTCACAGTAGAAAGCCACTAATAAAATGGACTGCAGCACATAGATTATAGCAGACCCAGTGCCGCATGATAGAGAACACCAAGAATAAAGGAATAGTAAAAAGTTAATGCAATAGGTCGCAATATTTTCCAGTGTGTTCTTCTTTTTTGCTACTGATCCAAAATCCACAAGCGGCCTCTTCACATCAGCAACCCAAAAAATAGGTCAATAGGACTTTGATCACGCTGATCATCACAAAAGTCTGTTTGTTGTCCCAGTCAATGACTAAGTGACCAGAGTGATCACCACAAAGGACAAAACAGGCATTCGCATCTAAAAAAAAGATTACGTGTCATCAATGAGTGAAACAGACAAGAACAAAAAAACACACACTACGACTTTGCTTTGAAAGTTTGCATGGCTGTAATATTACTGTGGAGCTACACGTCTAAAACAAGCTCAAACAGGGAGGCAGATAATCAGGAGACGTCGATCTCCACGATCTGAATTTATCAGCTCCGACCAAAAGTATATCTGTCGCTGCCTGCTTTTGTTTTTTCCACCAAGAATCCGGGCTCTTGATATACTTGCCAAACTTAAATTCCATTTCAAGTTAGATTCAGTGTCACTGATTGCAGGGAATATATGTGAGACATGTCATTCTCGTGCACTCAAGGGTTTCCTGTCTACATCTAGCGTGCTGCCAGCACTAAAAGGACAGCATCACACAGAGATGACTTGTGCCAGCCAAATTAAATCTTGTGATCCATAATAACTCGGCTCCAATAGGTCTGGGGTATTTTTAAGACTAACAAAATTCACACAAATACACACACATAGCTCGCTTGCCCAAAAGGGGGGCCTAAACGGCCTCACTTACCAGCAGCGCTGTCGGACAGATGACGTTAAATCGGCGGGGAGCGACTCTGTTCAGAACTGCAACCAAGTTCACGTTGCTTTTGGTGCCATTCCGTGCATTTGAAACCAACAAACCCTGTCAGCCCACCGCTAAGGCACGCCGACAGAAGCAATGAGGGCGTTAACGCTCATGTGACGATGTAACGCTCCACCGGACGCGCAATACCACAGAGTTTATCTCTTCTGCCTGCTATGAAGTCGCTCTGACATAGCGGTTAACATAGCGCTTTTAACAGCGGACACCCCTTCTTCCCCCCCTCCCCCCACACACACACTGTGCAGCAACGCATGCGCAATGTGGGGTATGTGCACTGGCCGCTAGAGAGGTTTCACTGACTGCGAAAACCGGGCAAGTTAAAACTTGTGTACGGGCGTAGCAGCAAGCAGGACTTCTCAAAGTGCCCCGTTCAAAATCTACAGCTCATCACGATCATTTGACCTATGCCTCATAAATCCGGCTCAAACTGGACTATATTGCAGACGGAGCAACATCTGGAAAGGCTTTGCAGCTGGCTGAGATTAAAAAAAACAAAAAGAAAACTCTAAATGCAGCTGACACATGAAGTGAATTCTGAGCTGTTTTTTTTTTTTCTTTTCTTGAAAATGTAAAAAAAAACGTAAATTACAAAGGATAGCTGCTTTCGGTAGAGTTAAATTCTTCACAAATATTCAACTCATTTGTCTTCGGAGATATTTCACTTTTATTGATAGGGCTAATTCACAACAACAGCTGCCACAAGGCACTTTATGCTGTCAAGACCCTACAATAAGCAAGCGTTTGGCGACAGTGGGGAAGAAGAGCTCCCTCTTAGGACAAACCTCCCACAGCAGGCTCAGGGAGGATCAATATTTAATTATGTATAATGATTAATTGCATTATTGATGTATACGCACACAGAAGGTTTAAGGAAATGACTGAAAAAGGTGCTCAGTGCATCATGGGAATTTCCCACCGGCTGAAACTTATTACAGTGTAACTAAGGGATGGTTCAGGGTCACCTAATCCAGCTCTAATGATGAAGCCTATGAAAGCCTAACCTTACAAGTAGAGAGAGTCTCTCAATAATTAATTAATGGCACTGATTCTTTGCGCAGTCTTTTAGGAACGAATTTTAAAAGAAAATAGGTGCTATAAATGCACTAGATAGACTATCAGGTAGTTTACAAAAAATTGAATTACCGAGGTAAAAGTAGGCTCCAACATCAAAACTTTGCTCATGTGCACATAAGAGTCCACATTGAGATAGTGGACTCTTATAAGTACCTGGGTGTTCACCTCAACAATAAACTGGACTGGACTACAAATGCAGACGTCCTGTATAAGAAGGGCCAGAGTCGACTCCACCTGCTGAGGAGACTGAGGTCCTTCGGAGTCTGCAGGACTCTGTTAAGGACATTCTATGACACTGTGGTAGCATCTGCCCTTTTCTATGCAGTGGCCTGCTGGGGGAGTGGATGCACGGACAGGGACAGGAGCAGGATTGACAAACTGGTGCCGAGGTCTAGCTCCGTGCTGGGATGTCCCCTGGAGTCTGTGGAGGTGGTTGGCGAGAGGAGGATGTTAGTAAAGCTGACATCCATCATGATCAACCCACATCACCCACTGCATGAGTATGTGAGTGGGCTGAGCAGCTCCTTTAGTCAGAGACTGAAACACCTTCGCTGCAGGAAGGAGCGCTTTCGCAGATCATTCATCCTAACAGCAGTTAGACTCTATAACTCCTCATTCACGATGTCATAAGTCACTGGACACTGTGTGAACATCCACGGTCACCACTTCATGCATAATGGACCTTCCATGTGTATGGACATGTGAAGGTATATATGTATGTATATGTATACATATGTATATTTAGTGTGTACATGTCTATACATAGGAATAGTAGTGGTACAATAGCTAGGTTCTCAGAGCATGTGCTGACAAACTGACCGGAGTCTTCACTAAAATCTTCAACCTTTCCTTGTCATCAAACACCGTCCCGCCCTGCCTCAAAACCTCCACCATCATCCCCATCGCCAAGAAGACAGCTGTGGCCAGCCCAAATGACTACAGGCCTGTTGCACTTACGCCTGTAGTGATGAAGTGTTTTGAGAGACTGGTCTGTCAGCACATCAGGGCCGGTCTGCCTCCCACTCTGGACCCCCACCAATTTGCCTACAGGACAAATCGATCCACCGAGGACGCTATCACCATAGCGCTCCACACTGCGCTGAGTCACCTGGAGCACCGAGGAAGCTATGTGAGAATGCTCTTTCTGGACTTCACAGCTCAGCATTCAATCATATCATCCTGGAGATCCTGGTCCAGAAACTGTCTCACCTGGGACTCTCCACCCCCATCTGCCTCTGGATCAAGGACTTCCTGACAAATAGACCACAGTCTGTCAGACTCGGCCCCCACCTGTCCAGCACCATCACACTCAGCACCGAGTCTCCACAAGGATGTGTTTTGAGTCCCCTCCTGTTTACGCTCTACACATCCGACTGCTCCCCTACCCATCTCTCAAACACCATCATAAAGTTCGCGGATGACACCACAGTGGTTGGACTCATCTCAAGGGGGGGATGAGTCGGACTACAGAGATGAGGTCAACAGACTGACTGAGTGGTGTTCAGTTAACAACCTCCAACTGAACACCACGAAAGCTAAAGAACTTATCTTGGACTTCAGGAAGGGCAGAGCAGACCCGGCCCCACTTTACATTCACGGGAGCTGTGTGGAGAGGGTACACTCCATGAGGTTTCTGGGCGTGCAGATCTCTGATGACCTCTCCTGGACTGCAAATACCACGGTGGTGGTTAAAAAGGCCCAGCAGCGTCTCCACTTTCTGAGAGTGCTCAGGAAGAACAACCTGGAGGAGAGGCTGCTGGTGACATTTTACAGAGCCACCATAGAGAGCATCCTAACGTACGGCATAACAACATGGTATGCAGGGTGCTCAGCTGCGGACAGGAAAGTACTGCAGAGGGTCATCAACACAGCCCAGAAGATCACTGGCTGTTCTCTGCCCAGCCTGGGGGTCACTGCAAACTCTCGGTACCTCAGCAGAGCTGGCAATATCATCAAGGACCACTCTCACCCCAGCAACCAACTGTTTGAACTATTACCGTCAGGCCGACGGTACAGATCACATAAAACCAAGACAAACAGATTCAGGGATAGCTTCTTTCCCAGAGCTACCAACATAGTAAATAAGCACAAAAACAATTGAACCTATTCCATACCGTCACTGTCATTATATTATGCTGCTATTCATACTGTCATTATATTAATGCTGCTATCCTGTATATATTGTACTATTGTTTGAGTACTTACGATTGTTTTTTTTGTACTTTTTATATTTTACATTTATATTTATTCTGTTGATCTTATGTGCTGCACAATAATGTTTAATATTTAGTATTTACTGTCATATTCCCATATATCATTGTGATGTTGTTTATTCTATTACTCTTGTTCTCTTCTGCTTGTTTTCTTTTTTCTTTCTCAGCAGGTGACCCAGGTGATTGATATATGCATTTCTTTTTTCTTTTTTTCTTCTTTTTTTCTTTTTCTGCCCGTTCTGTTGGTTTTTGTCTTTTGCCCTTCTCCCCCGTCCCTCTTCTCAGCTGTTTCTCTTTCCCTCTTTCTTTCTCCCCTTCTTTCCCCCAGTCAAGTCTGTCCTATATTCAGTAAGTGAAAATAAAATAAACAATAAAAGGTGAATCAAATGGACCATTATGGCAAGGCTGGGATGGTCAATTTGGTAAAGTAAATCCGTTGGGCATCTTTCTTTGCCTTTAGACAACAATTCTGATGGCAAAAGAGCCAAACGGGACAGGCAAAAAAAACAAAAAAAACCAAACAAAAACATTTATATTTATTATTGAAACTTGCACCAAGGGAGTGGCACTCCAATTTCGTTGTACTCTGTACAATGACAATAAAGGCTATTCTATTCTATGTCAAGCTATATAGTTTATGTCTTGCATATTTCCAACCATATCCATCATCACATACTGTGTATGCTACCATTGTATACAGTGTATTATCTTACTTTTTTTTTTCATTGATTGTACTTTTTTGTATTTTTGTATTTCCTTCTGATATCTGTAACGCAAAAAATTTCCCCGTCGTGGGATCAATAGTCTTATCTTATCTTAGCTTAGCTTAATAATGAGTTTTACTTTGATCTGTCAAACATTAACTCTTGGTTTTGGATAATTAGCATGTTGCTCTCAGTCACACTACATAATAGTGTATTCTGACCAAACTTAAATTTCAGTTCACTTTTCCCATCTTTACTATCAGAGCAAGAAACACCAGTTTGTGTCAAGCTTTGTCCTTAAGCCTACATTTCTGCTTTCAGTGAGCATCGTCTTGTTTCTTTTTTTAACACAATCAGGAGCGTGTCAGTGGAAAGTTTTGAGTCTTGGCTGCCTTTGCAGTTCATTAATAATGAGCATTAATCCAGGCAGTTTCAGACACATCCAAATACCACGGATTCATGAATGCCCAATGATTCAATTCAATATTTCCAACCCTCTATGCTGACGCACACTGCACACAGTTATAAACACACTTTTTATGAGACATTGTTAACTACTTTGTGATATGAAATACAATTTCACGTGAAACTGTACTGGCAGAAGCTAGAGTTCGTAATGGTAATCATTCATGGAGAATGATTTTCCAGTCATTTATGATGTGATAATGGATTTGAAATAACCTATCCCTTGTACCATGTATTCCTAGGAAGTTGTTTAGTAGCGACAAAAGACACACCCAGATACAGAGTCTCCAAGGGAGGTTACTCTGTGGCAAGACAAATAATGTTTCTTATGTTGCAATGTCCCTTCCTCTGCGCTTCTTGTTCTCACAACAACATCTGGAAATAAGTTAATTAGTAACACAAATAATCTTATATCAGCTAGACATAACTCAGATGAGTCAAAGATCTGATGCCAGATATTTGTTGTTTCCTTGAAAGAGATACCAAGCAAATACTGGGGAAATATTACATAATACAATGACAGCCACTATCTTTTGAAATTGTTTTGTTCAAGCAGTAGGACATTTGATTCTCACTCTCACCAAAAGAAGCTGAAATAGCCTCATATATTCTATACAGGTTGATCCCGCCTGTGGGGTGAATTAGATGGAGTTACTGTTGAAGGGTACCTGATGAACTCGTCTTTACATTTTTTGTACAGGTACCAACATTTAGAGAGACATATTTTTTATCTGTAAGTAACAGCAT